ACTCACACGACCCCAGGCCATGGGACGGTGATCCATGGTGGTTTATGGTGGGGGTTCGATGTGAGAGGGGGGGGGGGGGGGGGGGGGGGGGGGGGCGGAGAGGTAATCTCTCGGCGGGTATTGTTCGTGGGGGGTTTCGGAACAAAATTTCTCGACGGTTAATCTCTCCCGGAGTCTAGAAGAGCGTGAGGAAAGAGTGATGGAATAGGTCGAGGTCAAGGTTGATGAAGTTGCGGAGAGGGAAGCGAACGAGACTACGTCGTATGGCCAGGCTGTGGTGGTTCGCGTCCACGGCAGCCTGCCCGAGTGGTGTTACATAAGCTGACATCACGATGAGTGATTGGCCACAACAGCTGAGCTCCGGCCGATAGCTTCAAGAGAGCACAGATGACGTTTGAGAGCCTCGGGGGAAAAAAATTGCAATTATCTCTACGACGAGAGTCTGACGAGAGGGAGCAGACGCGGGTGAAATTTGAGAGAATTGTGAAATCCTCCTCATGTTGTTATTCTTTCCCCGCTCAAATCCGAGGGTGTTGAATGCCCCCTCCTGGAATGGATAATCGGACTAAACGGCCTGCTACAAAACTGGTACGAAGAATTACCCTGTACTCTCCGCTAGATTCTAGTTTCAATACCAGAAAAACAGTTTCCTGGATGCGGGACACAACAAGTACAGATTACACACTGCAATCTGTACCTGTAAACCCGTACCTTGAACCAAGCTCTCGTAACAAGGGCCATTTCCCCCAACCACCCCTTGCGAAGACGCATACGACCATCTTCTCACGCCAGTATCATCCAAGGGCTGTAACTGTCGTCTCTCTATTAACCCCCCCCCCCCCCCCCCCTCGGAAGAGCCACCAATCTTTCAATCCGCAACACACACACACACACCATCATCATGCTCGCAACATCCGTCAGCAGGGCGGTCGTCCGTCGCGTTGCTGGTGCCGCCGTCGGAGCCCCGACCGCCAGCCTCGCGCGCAGCCTTGCCGGTCTGAGCATCTCGTCATCTTCACCGGCAGTTACTGCCCCTCGTCCCGCCACCGTCCGCGCCTTTGCCACGTCGCCATATGCTGCTCTTCCCGAGGGCAAAGAGAAGAAGACGAAGAAGAAGGCTGCTGCTAAGAAGGCTGCGGCTAAGAAGCCCGCGGCTAAGAAGCCCGCGACTAAGAAGAAGGCTGTCGCCAAGAAGCCTGCGCAGAAGAAGAAGGCCGCCAAACCTCCCACGCCCGAGCAGCAGGAAAAGGCCGAGATCAAGGAGCTCAAGCGGCGTGCCCTTCTAAAGCTGGCCCCCAAGACTGCGGCCGTGCGGCCGTGGAACATATTTGTGGCGGAGAAGATGCCCGCCGAGAGGGCGCGTACGTCGACCATGGGTGATGCCATTCGTGCCGTCAAGGCTGAGTTCGATGGCTTGTCATACTCAGAGATGCAGGTATGTCTCTTCTTCTCCTTTTCCCTCTCTCCCTCTCTCCCTCTCTCCCTCTCCCTCTCTCTCTCTCTCTCACACGCACACACAATAAGGAGAGGAGAAGCGACAATGTGATGAGAAGAGCTGACGCGACGTGATCTTCGCAGCGCCTCGAATCCCAAGCCGCAGCCAACAAGGAGGCCAACGAGGCAGCTTACAAGGCCTGGATCGTCAGCCTTCCCGTCGACGTCGTCTACCTCGCCAACCGCGCCCGCCGCCGCCTCGCCCGCCTCGTCAAGGACAAGCGCTTTCCCAAGCTCGTCGACGACCGTCTGCCCCGTACCCCCCGCAACCCCTTCGTCCAGTACATCCAGTCCGAGGCCACCTTCCCCGCCGGCCGCCCCGTCACCGACTCCTTCCGCGACGCCGCTACCGCCTGGAAGTCCTTGCCCGACTATGAGAAGCGTCGCTTCGAGGACCAGTATGCTGCCGACAAGAATACTTACGACACCGAGATGACGGCTATACGGGCCCAGGCCAATAAGAGGGTCAAAGCCGACAAGGCTGCTGACAAGGCCGTGGCCAAGAACCCCCCTCAACCCTTCTGAGGATTAATCACGGAGAACTGAACGAAATGAACAAACAGACATGCACAAAAAAAAAAAGAACAATTCCAAACGATACTCTTGTGTTTTTATGCACTCGGCTTTACCCCCACCCTGATGGTTTTTTTCATCTTCCTCTTTTTCTTTTTTTTTTTTTTCATCCAAGTTTTATTCTCTTTGGGCCGCGTGCGTTTCCGTCTTGTCGGGAGGCGTCTGCTTTGCGTTTGGGTCTTAGGATCATAGAAGGGACTCAACTTCCTCTGATGTGAGAAGTCTAGGGTCATAATGAAGAGTCTGCACAGGTGTGGAACCGTGTATATGTGTCGCTGAGGCTTTTCTTTCTTTTTTTCTTTGATTTCCTCCTTCCGTTCTGTTCTTTCCTCGTCCTGTCCGATACGTTCAAAGAGTTGTACTCATAGATACCACTTGATCGGAAATCTTGGCTCATCTTTCGTAAAAGCTGTCTAACGCTCACCCCGCCATGCTACGAGATAAGGCCTGGCAGCAGGTGGCGTCTCAATAGAGGATGCCCAGGGTATGTGGATGTATATATCAGCCCTCTCGAAATACCCAACATCAGCCACGGCCCTGCGGCGGAACCCGCAAGACGACATCCCCCTCTGCATCCGTCCAACCGGCCCCCGTCGTCTTGAGCTTCCTCTCGCTCGCCAGGTACAACAGGAGATACGTATGCTTGGCAAGGTGACCCCAGCAGTACAGGCGGACCCAAGAGTGATCCTCACCCCTGAGACACCAGACGCCCCATCCCGCCTGCCCGCCACCGATGTAGCTAGCCAGGAAGGCCCACGCCTCCAAGCGCCTCTCGACGTCCCAGCTGCTGCAGTCGAGGAGCCAGTAGCCCCTCTCGAGCGGTTCGATGACGCGCGTGGCCTCGGGCCGGTAGCGCGACGACAGCTGGACCGCGAGCCTGGCTAGCCTGGGCGACACCAGGTCTTCTGGCTCGACCGAAGCCACGCCCACAGGTGGAGACGGAGGTCTGGCCTCCAGCGCGTCCATCATTCCCTGGTCAGCTGCCGGAGGTGGCTGCCGGCGAAGGATAGATGCTGCTGCTGCTGCGCTGTCGTGGCGAACCAGACCTGTCAAGTGGTCTGTGGACATCATGGTCCTTTGGGCGGATGGAGGAACATCAGCAGGAGCGGCACCTGGCGGTTCTGGCTCTGCGGGCTCGTGATGCGCAGCACTCAAGTCACTGGCTGAGATGTGCGTAACATCTATGTGGGAGTCGTCTGGTCCGGGTACCTTGAGATTATGGTGCCGGCGCTTCCTCTGGGCTACTGCCAACTGTGGAGTCACCGAGACTATCTTTGCTGGGGTACCGGCTGGCGGGCACTCTCCGTCGCTGTGCCGGTCTGGATCTGGTATGGACGAGGGGATGGCGATATCCCGCTCATAGGGCTCTTTGGCGATTTCATAATCGCCGAGATCCACGGACGGACGTGAGGCAGGGCTGCTCTCAGGCGCAGGGCGTCGGCGTATGAAACTCTGGAGGATGCGCGTGGGGGAAGCGTATATGGCGGCATTGGGCACAGGGTACGAATCGCTTATGTGACTGGGCGGGGCGCTCCACTGGTTCTGTGATGACGGGGTCCCCTGCGGATGTGGTGATGGCGTGGTATAGTCCTTTGATGGTGGTTGCCGTCCAGCCGCCGTACGCAGACGCGGCGAAGACCGGTTGTCCAGAACACTGTGGAAGCTGAGGTCCTGGGAGTCGATTATGGGGGCAATAGATTGGGAAGACGATGGCGGTTGTCCCCGATATCCCTGGCGTCGAGCTTGAGAGGCCTGGTCTTGGGTCGGACTGCGAGCCAGAGGTTCATCATGGCTTCCATTGTCTGGTCGGGACACGGGCACGCCGCCATGTGAGAGGGGTTCAAAGGCTAGATAGGCCGAGGCCAGGGCACGGTATGCAGCATCATCGGCGACACGGCTGGGTGCGTTGACGTGTACCAATATCTCGACGTCATGAGACTGATTCGCCATGTCATTCCAAGGTGGTGCTGAGGCAGAGAGCGATCATGTCGTCGGCCTAGGAGTGTGTGAAGTTGGGCGAGCGGAAGGGGTCACGGCAGGTGAGGTTCCACCATTTTCTTGTTGTTGTGAGAGGTGAGAGATACAGGAATCTGTAATATAGATGCACACAGCCGGACTTGACCTGTAAGAAGGAAGAAGAGAGAAAAAAAAGAGAGAGAGGGAGAGGAATATGTTTGAACAAGAAGGAATGAACAAACGTGAGGGTATAATTCACGAACAGATCATGACTAGTGCGCCACAGTTGTCAGGCAGCAGATATGTATGTGGCTGGCGTACACGTGTGGCTTCGGAATTATGGGCCATGTAAGCTGTAGAGCTCCACTAAAAGTCTGGGTGGGGGAGGGGGGAGGCCGCCTCAGGTATCTGATACCCTCATCTCCACACGACATTCACGTGGGAGGAGAGTACCCTGTACATGATGCGTCCAAACTACCCCGGATCAGGAGGTTCCAACCACTTAGGGGGAAGCATGGAGCCATGGACACATAGCAGCCGAGATTCTTTACAAAACATCACCAACCATCATCCTCTCTCTTCCTCTCCCTTCCTTCTCGCCTCCACCCCCCCCGCAGAAGCAATGGCGACGAAATTAAAGGCAGGAGGTGATCTAGGCCGCGTCATCGTGGTAGGCGGCAACGGCTTCCTGGGCTCCCACATCGTGAACCAGGCGCTGGGCGACAGCGACAGCACGGCCAGCTGGACGGCCACGTCGGTCGCGTCGGTGGACCTGCGGTGCGAGCGCAACCGCAACGAGCGGGCCACCTACCACGAGTGCGACATCACCGACGTCGACAAGCTCACGTCCATCTTCGAGGAGCTCAAGCCCGACGTCGTCATCCACACGGCCTCGCCCGTCGCCGCCGACAGCAGCGTCAGCCACGACCTGTTCCGGAAGGTCAACATCGACGGCACCCTCGCCGTCATCCGCGCGTCCCAGCAGTCGGGAGCTAAGGCCCTCGTGTACACCAGCTCCGCCAGCGTCATCAGCGACGACAAGAATGACCTCATCAATGCCGACGAGAGGTGGCCCGTCATCCGAGGTAGTCAGCAAGGCTCATACTACAGTGAGACCAAGGTACATACATACATACATATATACACGCATCGCCTCTCCATCTACGCATGTAAGAGGGAAGAGACAGGAAAGAGAAGAAGAAAACTCGCTGACGGGGATGAAACACTCCTTAGGCTGCCGCCGAAGAGGACGTCCTGAAGGCCAACCGCCAGGAGCCGTACAAGCTGCTCACCTGCGCCATCCGCCCGGCCGGCATCTTTGGCGAGGCCGACGTCCAGACGCTCGCGGGCTTCATGAACACCTACAAGAACGGCCGCCACAAGGTCCAGCTCGGCGACAACGAGAACATCTTCGACTTCACCTACGTCGGCAACGTCGCCCACGCCCACCTGCTCGCCGCCCGCCTGCTCCTCGCCACCGCCGCCTCCCCCACCGCGCCCCTCGACCACGAGAGGGTCGACGGCGAGGCCTTCTTTGTCACGAACGACTCCCCCGTCTACTTCTGGGACTTTGCCCGCTCCATCTACGCCGCCGCCGGCGACCGCTCCGGCACCGACGGCCTCTGGCGCCTCCCCGCCGACTTCGCCTTCCTCCTCGCCTTCCTCAGCGAGACTTTCTCCTGGATCACCCGCAGGACCCCCACCTTTGGCCGCAAGGCCGTCACCATGTCCACCATGACTAGGTACTACAACATCTCCAAGGCCAGGCGTGTGCTCCACTACGAGCCCGTCTGGACCCTGCGGGAGGGTGTCGAGCGCGGTGTCAAGTGGTTCCTCGACCGGGATGCCAGGGACGCTGCTGCTGTCGCTGAGAAGTGATCTTCTCTTAGTTGTATATGACATATTAATGCGTTTTTAATCCACCATGAAGAGATCTACAGTCCCCTTCCCGTCTACACATTGCCCGTCTTGATGCTCGCTGCATTCCGGTCATCTTAGGCGGCCCTGTCGGTGACTTGTCCTCGCTTCGCTCGCAATCAACCACCTAGGAGATTTATAGCAACTCTAGGCCGAACCATTAAAACATCTATATATGCTACATAGTAGTAAATCACCATTCCATCCTTGACTACTCTCAACCTCCCGGCCGTCTTACGGGAGCTCCCCCTCTCTCGCTCCGCTTACTGTAAGAACCTTGACACCATAGACGGTAACAAGCACAAGATGAGGGAATAATTGTTGAAAATATGAAAACCTGAAAATTCTTGATATATAAAACTTCCCCAAGCTTCAAAAAAACAAAAAAAAAAAACAAAAAAACTATCCTTTTCAACCCTCAACCATCAGCTTATAAAGTCAAAAAAAGGGAAAAAAAAGAAGAGAAAAAAAAAACAAACGATAAAACCTTGCCCCTTTTCTATGCACCACATGTGACCAAATTCAACTGTTTCAAAATCCAAACTAAGGTATAAGAAAAAGAAGTAGAAAAAAAAAAAAGAACAGGGTAAGAAAGAATCTCGAAGAGAGGAAAAGGACAGCCCGTCTCCTTCTGTGTGTGAACAGGATTTGGTGTGTGTGCGTGTGTGTATGTGTGTGTGTGGACGGAATAAACAGAAAAAGGGGGATCGTCTTTCTTTTGCAACTTTTCTTGTTAGGACACCCGCCAAAAAAAACCCCCATCCACCTCTCTTTCTGTAAAACGACGTAGAGAGAAAAAAAGAAGAAAAATCGGAAAAGCTCTCGCTGAACAAGAACCAAGTGTTGAATGCCATGGATTCAAAATAGTAAGAAGAAAAAGAAGAAGAAAAAAGAAGAAAAAAAAAGGACTCGCTGTGAAGACAGGAGACGAAAAAAATGTCGAGAAGAAACAGAAAAAAAGTGTTGTTGGTTAGAGAGAAATGTAAAGGGGGGGGGGGGGGTAAGAGAAAAAACAGTTTCGTCAATTCATGCGTTAATTGTTTTTTTTGTGCGTTCCTACTCTTTAGAAAAGAATAAGATATTTCCTCTCTTTTATTCTCTTATTTCCTTGTCAGCTTTCCATTCCTTGCTTCTTCTGTCTCCTCTTCCTTACCCTGACCTCATGTCCAGATCGAGAGACTGCAGAATTCAGGATGAGAACGAATTGATGAGAAGGAAAGGAGCTTGTTTTCTCTCTCTCTCTCTTCTGTCCCATACTATAACGCCGTAGAGATGCAAATGATGTTGGGACTTGCCAAATCATGGTCTTTCTTGTATGCAAAGGTGTGTGTGTGTGTGTGTGTGCGTGTATGTTCGGTGTAAGAGCGATTGTTGTGTGAGGAAGAACGCCGTTGGACAGAGACTCAAGGAAAAGAAGATAGAGGAGGTGCATACGGTCAGGAGGCGATGAGACCAGAGAATGAAGCGAGCGCGAGGGAGAGAAGAGATATTATGAACTTCCGCCCACACCCAGACCACTTCCTTGACGTCCCCATCCGGAATTTCGCCAGTCACGTCTCTGCTGCTGTCCCTGCTGAGACTGCTGCGACTGCTGATCCGGTGTAGCTGCGGAGATATTGCCGTCCGAGTGGTTGTACTGCGTCGCGCCCGGAGGCAGGGGGCCGGGCTCGCTGGGGCCGCGCCACCGCTGCTGCTGCTGCTGCTGAGGGGGTGTCCCTGTTGCCTCTCTCGGAGGCGGCGGCTGGCCGCTCGCGGACGGCACAAACGACGACTCCTGGACGTGCCGCACCGACGATTCCGCCTGCCACACTGCCGGGTCTGTGTCGACCCGTCTCGGCGGTGGTCGCGTCGAGCTATCCTGCCTGTTGTAGGCCTCGGAGACGTCCGTGATGTCGATGTGCCCACGTCGCTCCTGGAAGCGCTTCATGATGTCCTTGGTCGTGTTGTCGCCACTGCTGCTGAAGATGTATGGGTCGTTGAGCAGCGCGAGGATGTCGTCGGGGACCTTTTATCAGCCTTGTCAGTCTCTCCCACTCAACACGTTCCCGCATACGTCGTCAGCGAGGGATGCCGAGACTTACCTGGCACATCTCCTCGATGTTGTTGATGAGCACTTCGACGGCGTCGATCACGTAGATGGCCTCGCTGTCGAGCACAGACGCCTTGGCCGGGTTGGTCAGGATGTTGGGCGCGATGACGGTGGCCAGGTTCCGGATGTCCATCTTGGACCCCAGCTCGTCATCGAGCTGGTGGAATGAGCCGGCCCACTTGAGGAAGGAGAAGAGGACCTCCATGCAGTCGCGATGGCTCCTGGGCAGCAGGCAGCACGTCAGGTGGAGGCAGTGCTTCCTCTTGTCCAGGTCGGGGATCTTGGCGGCGCTGACCCACAGCTTGAAGAGCTTGTGCGTCATGAGGGGGTCCGGGAGGTCACGCAGGTAGCGCTTCAGCAGCGCCGCCAGCTGCACCACGGGCTGCTCCATGAAGTTGACCGTGTCGCAGCCTTCCGTGTTGATGCGGTCGACCAGCTCCTGCTGCTTCTTGATGTTTCCGTTCTTGCGGAACACACCCTCCACCGACAGGTCCATCTTGCGCATCGACGAGATGATGTCGTCCACCACGGCGGGGATGCGGAGCGTTCCCGGACCCACGCCGTCGGTCGAGTCGGCGCCGTCGCGCTCGATGATGGTCTCGAGTGGTATGGTGAAGACGGCCTTCTTCTTGTTGACCTTGTTCTTGTCGTTCTTGAACGCCTTGCCCAGGTTCTTCCAGAACGTGACCTGCTTCTTAGACTCGATGAAGCCCAGAAGCTCGTCCGTCGTGAACTCGCGGATGATCATGGGCTGCATCGTGAGCACCGCCAGGTGTCGCACGTTGAAGTACTCGAGGGCTGACAGCTCCGAGAAGAACTTGCGGTTGATGCTGGTAGGCATCTGATCGGCCGAGCGGAGGCCCTGGTCCCTGCCCGTAGACATGCTCCTCTGGCGGCCATCGTCGGCTGCGCCCGTCGGGTCGCCGCCCGGCGGCTGTGCGCGGCTGTTGCGCACGTTCTGCTGCTCCCGCGACTGCTCGGCTGCCACGATCCTCGGGATGTCATCGAGGGTGATGGCATCATTGTGACCAAACATGCGGTCTGTCGAGTCTTGCGTGTCGCGACCCTCGCCGCCGACAGACACGGGGCGGGGTCCTCGGCCGTCCATGTCCATGACGCGCGACGTCCTGGCCTGCTTGACGCTCGACGACAGGTGGCGGTCCAGCCGTGTGCTGCGCAGTCTCCGGACGTCGTTGAGAGTGCTCTCGTACGACGACTCTCGCCGGTGGTCCCTGGCTGCGGCACTCTGGGATCTCGCCCAGGCTTCGGAATGTGTCTTGGGGGCCCCGGACTCTCCATCGCCGTCGCCCGTCGGCATCCCGGCGCCGGGGGGGAGTTGGTCCCCGGGCGGAGGCAGCGTGCCGTTGCTCCAGAAGATGTCGAGGAGGCGGGCCAGAGCCACCTTGAGGAGGAAGATGTATTGGCCCAGCTTGGAGAGGTGCTCGCAGGGCATGAGACCGTCCCTCACACCGCCGGCACACTCGGTGCAGTGGATCCTGCCGTCGTACGAGTTGCATAGGGCCTCTCCGAGAGACCTGCCCAGCTCCCGCTTGCACTGCGTGCACCTCACGCAGGGCAGGTGCCACCGCAGCTCGCCGCTCTTGGCGCACTCGTCCTCGATGGACCGGTTGCAGGACACGCACTGGTCCGAGTTCTTGGCGGAGAGCCGTGTGCTAGCCTGGCTGGACTGCAGGGCGTTGTCGTCGCTCTTGTAGGCTTCGAAGCCGTTGAGGTCGTCGAGGAACTGGTAGAGACCGTCGGACGCGTTGGCCTCGCGCTCAAGTCGCAGGGCGCCCTGGAGGCAGATGCGGATCAGGAGCTTCAGGTAGTGTGCCAGTCCGGTGACCAGCGACAGGAGCTCCTGCGTCAGGCCGAGCTTGTGAGCGCCCGCGTCCTGGCTCTTGGACAGGAGAGAGAAGAAGGAGACGATCTTCTTGCAGAGCAGCTTGGCTTCCCGGCCATATGACAAGCCTGCCAACACACGGTTAGCGCGCGCGACCGAGCACACTTTGGCGTTTCAGAGCAACGTCACGGAGCAGCAGAGGCAGAGGACGTGGACGGGAGAGAAGAAGACTTGACTTACCCTTCTCATTCACCCCCAACATGGCGGTGTTCAGCTTGTCGGTAGATTGGAACAGTATCTTGACATGCCATATGAAGCGCTTGGCCATCATGACGCCCTCGAGATACGCCCCGTTGCTGACATGGAGGAGCATGTCGGAGATGCAGGCAGCCGACGACTCCTCGAATGTGGACAGGACGCTCCATATGCGAAAGACCTTCTCCTCCATGCGCTCCTCGACCTGGCGGATGTAATCGCGGCCAACGGGGTCGTCTGGGGTGATGGCGGTAGATGCGTTATCTTCGGACGACTGTGCGAGGCGGACGTTCCAGAACTTGTGGATCATGTAGCACTCGGGATGCCAGTGCTGGTTCTGGCCGTTGCGGAATATCTCGACAAATTGCTTCAGGATGGCAATCTGGCAGCCGTTGCAGCGCTGTGCGAACTGTGTCGAGTAGTGGTAGTGGCAGTATACGTTGCCGTCGTGCTCGTAGTAGCTGTCCTGCGCACCGAAGACGGTATCGCAGCTGGAGCAGGTGAAGTGATCGATATGGTACTTGCGGTCAAGGGCCGTTATGTAGGAGCCTCGCAGAGCACCGCCGCACTGGTAGCAGAGCAGGCCGAGGCGTCGAAAGTAGTCGGTCTCGCAGAGGGGGTACTGGCCTTGACCAGATTCGTCGTCGACGGGAAAGAATTTTGACGCGACGATTTCACCGCAATCCTGTTGATTGAAGTCAGCAACGTTGACCTTTTTCTTTCCCTCCTTCCTCTCTCTCTCCCCCCCCTCCCCCCCCTGCTATCCTGCCGATTAGAGGGAATAGCGAGATACGTACCTGGCATTTAAAGCAGTCGAGGTGAAATGTGCCGTCGAGGGCCCTGACAAACTGGCCGGTGAGAGGCTCACCGCACTTGTTGCAGAGCCTCATCTGGCCACTGGGGGTGCGTCCGTTCCTGTTCCGCGACCTGACGCGCTCGTTGCTTCCGCGTGCGGTATCGCTGTCGTAGTTGGTAGGCGGTGCACTGGGAGGACCGACAGCGGGACCGATACTGGAACCGCCAGCGTTGCTCCCGACCGAGGCGGTAGGCCTCAACCTGTGGCCGCTCTCTGGGGTTCTGGGGTCGCTGCTGCCACCATTCTGGTAGGAATCGTTCGAGAAGGGCGGGTCCGGGGTCCTGCGGTCGAATTCTGAGGGGGGAGCCAAGGGAGCCTCAGGGCGCGCGAGGTCCCCCGGTGGACCGTTGGCGTATTCAGACGACGCCATGGCCCAAGGTCGTCGGAAAAGGGAGGGGGAGGGTCCAGCGTGTTTATATTGTATATATATATGTATATATATATATATATATGTGTGTGTGTGTGTGTGCGTGTGCGTGCGTGCGTGTATGTATATATATATATATATATATATATAAAGGTGTGTTGCGTCTAGGTGGCCTGCTTGTCGACGTGTGTCGCTGAACGGCGCCGAGAAGATTCCCCTCCCAGCTAAGGAGCCTGTCGGGATCCGCCAACCGGGGGCACCTCTTCTCTCAACGCCACGAGTCTAGCAAAGGTCGGGGAGGGGTCGTCTTGGTCGGCATCAGCAGACGTGTCGGCGAAGGGAGGGGGATGTATATCACGGTCGAGAAGAGACGTGTACGGAGGCGCTTTGTCAATTGGCAAGATGAATAGAGGCACGTCCAGCGCGGGTTGGTGAGGCTCGTTTGTCGTCGTCGTCGTCGTCGTCGAGGTCGTCGTGGTCGGGTCTGCGGAGAGAGGGAGGAGGGCTCGGTTCGTTTGTAGGGAAGGCGAAATGTGGTTTCCTCCTGCAGAGACGAGGGGTGTGTCGAGAAGGTATAGAAAAAGAAGAGAAAAGAAAACAAATAAAACCCGCTTATTAGGCGCGTGCGACGTGAAGAAGCAGTCGTGTTCGGCTAACAGGCAATAGAAGGACGACGACGAGGTCAGGCAAAGCAAACAAAGGGGCGGGTTGGTGAGAGAGAGAGAGCCCGGATAGGAGGCAGCTAGCTGCCAGGTCCAGGGGGGGGGGGGGGGTTGTTTGGTTTAGAGGGGGAGGGGAGGGCCACTGTAGTGGTCAGTGGTGATGTGGCTACCCAGGCAGAGAGCAAGGTGGTAATAAGGAATGAGACAGAAGAGCCAGACAGGGAGGGGGAGAGAGAGAGAGAGAATAGAGAGAAAGGACAGAGAATGGTTGGTTACGGTGCCGTCGCCTTGGTTGGGCGTTGTAATCAAGCGGTCGGAAGACACACCACAGAGGAGGAAGAGAGGGGTGTTTTGGGCGTAAGTAACGGGCAATACTCGTACATGTAGTGCAAGGCCAAGCCGAGAAGGCAAGAGAGCACAACAGAAAGTGCCCAAAGGTGCAACGGCTTGCGGCTGGTGCCCCGTTATGACAGCGGGGGTGTAGTGAAGTGGGTGTGTGTGCGTGCGTGTGCGTGCGTGGTAGATGTACCTCTGGTATGGGTCGTACTTGGGTAAGAATACAGGTATCTTTTCCTCCCACTCACTCTTCTCTTCTTTCTCTTCTTCCCGCAGGAGTTTGGACTCGGTAGTAGTAGTAGTAGTAGCAGTGGTCCGTGGACCGTAGCAGAGGAGGAGTTGCTGTTTTTGTTGTTGTTGTTGTTGTTGTTATTGTTGGTACCGGGGACATGCGTTGAAGTGGGCGGTAGGGCGGTACTCGTACAATGGACGGGAGGAGGGGAGGGGGGAGGGGGGTGGGGGCCTATGGACTACAGATTACAGGTAGAGAGACAGAGAAGGACAGAAGGTGGTGCTGGCCCCCTGGCCCTGGCCCCGGGTGCTGGCACTGGCAATGCAAGCAAGGTATGTACGGAGTACTTGGAACGTCTTGCGTGTTATTACTGCGGATGGCATGGATGATGTACCTGTATTGCTGGCAACCTTCCAGTGGGTTTTTTTCTTATATCTCCTACCTGTAATGATACTACGAGTGCTGGCAATACCTGTACGTATACTCTGCAATACAGCGTACGGATACTCGTACTCGTACATACCCTACCGTTCCAACCCCCAGACCCGTCCGTTGCTAGGCCGTAACCCGTCGCCTGGGCCCTCTCTGACTGGGTCCCTTGGTCCCATCCATCCTCTGCCAATACGTACCGGGTACTCATTTTTACTTGTATTGGCTGCGGGGCGCGGCAATTTCCCCTGGCGCCGGTCCCCGCTACGACCATCCATTGTGAGTACGAGTCTGAGTACGGGTCTTGGTAGTGAGTACCTCGACATCGTGCTGCGGACGCCCACTAGAACACGCCGTACAGCGGGTAGCCGGTACAGCGACCCGACGCTGTAGGTACGCTGCTCGTAGGTAAGTTGTATTATTTCATGCTCCAACACGTCCGTAGCAATACCCCGTCCGTACGGGTTAATAATAATAGTAGGGATGAATCACTGCAATGAAGCATGCAGGCACTGCCATGAAGTTGGATGTGTGGGCTTATTACATAATCTCCACTCCCACCCGACCCCGTGCACGGTATCATATTATGTGCGCGTACCGACTGACTGATTAACGTAGCACTCCATTCACGTACTATGACGATGAGTACGGGAGCTACTCGCACATACGAGTACTGGCATCGAGTAGCAGCAGTAGCAGTAGCAGTAGCATCATCAGTCGTACAAGCATGGAGAGTAGAAATACGGACCTCGCATCACGATGTAACAACAGGTACGAAGCATGTAGCACAATCATCACATCAGTATGAACGCGCCAAGACTCTGATCCGAATGCTTGTCTGCTGCCCCCCTCCCATCCTACGCGAGACAACATTCTTTCCTAGGGCGTATCTGTATTACAATGTTAATACGAAACCCTGTCAAGATACGACATACCGTATTGTGATCCCAACGTACTCATCTATCCGTATACTTTTTAAAATGATTGCCAGACACGGTACATTTCTCTGGTGGTGCTGCCTACTTGGTGTACCGGTATGTGGGGATTCGCTAAAAGGCCCTGATCCCCCCCCCTCCCCCCCTGCGGCCCTCCTTGCACGAGTATTCTGTCATACTGACCCTCCTTACCCTACCTATGACGTGGGGATGTCACCTAACTTTTTCTTCCTCTCTTCTCGCTATCATCATGCAGCAGTAGGAGCTGCTCCAGTTGACAGCATCCTGACAGGATACACGTCCTACTTTTGTCATCATTTATGGAAAGAAGGGGGGGGGGAGGGTGGCTAAAAGCAAAAACTGTGTCTTAGTCTTGCAGCATCCTTACCCCCGCTCTCGGTAGGAGCATACATCACGACGCGACCTGTCATTGAGTCACGTGCCTCTTTTTTTTCTTTTTTCTTTTCTTTCCTTCCTTCTTCCCAAATCGACAAGGCTGACCACTAGGGGGAAGAAATGAGGGATGGTATAACAATCACATAATATGTATGAGGACACTCTAAGACTCCTTCTTTACGACGAAATGACGCTGATCAGCAACTCTGATACGAGCACGTGTGATATTAAAGTATTAATTAACTGTTGTATTGCTCCGTATTTCTGATTGTCGATGGCCTGAACACGCAAGGTCACGTGTTTCAGCCATTCAACCTTTGTTTTCTTCATCTCACGTTCGTGTGCACTCGCTGGTGAGATGAATCGTCATGACCTTCATTTCCCTCCTATGTGCCCTCCCCTTTTGGTGCAATACCGATGATGCTGGTAGCTGAGAAGGACCGAGAAGAAGAAGAATTGAACATTGTTTGTCCACTCATCCCGTCTGTTTTCGTTGACGGTGCTGTCAACCTCAGTGCTTGGCATTCGACCCGTGGACCAACTGCCGCAGTCTCCTCTCGACCGTCTCGCGACCCTCGGCCGTGTTCCACACCTCGTGCGGCGCCCTGTCGACGATATCCCAGTGCTTCAACTTATCCGTCAGCTTGGTCAGGTCCCTCTGCCTGCGCGCCCACGCCTCGTCCTTCTTGATGCGCTGGCCCGAGCTGATGACGGCGAGGTTCGTGTCGCGCGGCTGGATGGCGCGGCTGGCCTGGACGTCCCGTTTCGTGAACGACGAGGCGACCAGGTTCTCCTGGAGCTTGGAGAAGATGAAGCGGGGCCCCTGGGCCTCGGCCCGGCCGTAGATGCGATCCTTGGACGAGCGGCCCTTGAAGATGGCGCCCGGCAGCCGGTCCAGCCCGAGCGGGGAGAGCACGCCGCGGAGCCACAGGAAGAACCCCCTCCCCGGGGAGCCCACCTCGCTCTCGAGGTAGTCCTCGTGCAGGGGGTCGATGAGCACCAGGCCCCGGACGTCGGAGCCGTGCCGGGACGAGAAGACGCGCTGGTAGATGGACCCTACGCCCGCGCTGGCCAGGACCCATGGCCCGTGCTCGCCCGCCCTGGAGAGCGCCTCGCTCAGTACGTCGGACGCTAAGCTGGCGCTGAGCGGGCTCGGCGCCGCGTCCGACCACCCCACCCCCGGTCGATCGGCGAAGCAGTACCGCATTATCGAGCCGTTGTCCACCGCCTCATCGGCCAGCTTCCACAGCCCGCTCTCCACCGACCTCTCCCCACCTTCAAACAGCACCGTCGGTAGATCTGCCGCCGCCACGCCTGCCGTGCTGCTGCTGCCGTTGTCTTCGCCTCCGCGGCAGTAGACGTGGATGCGGTACTTGCCCCCGTCGACGGGGTACATCTTCCCCGGAGCGGCCACCCGGGAGTCGAAGGCCCTCAGGAAGATGGTCAGCGTCATGAGCACCACGGCCACCGTCATGAGCGTGTCGGCCACGGTAGAAGCCATCACCCCGACCCACTCGACCAGCGTCCGCCTCGTCTCCGGCCGGCCCGTCAGCCTCTCTTCCTCCTCTGCCTTGCCCCATTTCACCGTGCTGTCCACCAGCACCGACCAGAGGCTCATGAGCAGAGCCCACACCACGCTCACCGTGCCGACCCAGCCCTCGTCGGAGCGTGTCCTCTCCACTGCAAGGATGACGATGACGTCTACCAGCAGGATTCCCTATACGAAAGTCAGCGACGTCGATCCAACCGTCATCCTTCTCCGGAAGACATGCGGGAGGGAAGGGAAGACCACCCACCGCCATGACCAGACACAATATCCGGACAGCCTTGGCCGGTACCTCGAAGAACAGTAGCGTGAAGACCATGTTGGCAAGCGTGAGACACGCGAACCCAAACGACAGGAACGGGCCACCCCTCGTCTGGAAACCGGGCGGCGTGACGAAGCCCGAGATCAGCACGAGCGTCCACCACACCAGCGTCACCAGCGTGAATGCCACGGTGACGAAGCGCAGCAAGCGGATCGTCCACAGGTTGTACGGCGTCACGGCCGGGTCGTCGGGTGTGAGTGCACCCGTCCTTCCTTCTGCTCGTTCCGAGTCTGGCAGCAGCCGTGTGCGCTCGTCTGGCACCGCGGTCGGCCGGTTGGCGTCATTGTCCCGAGGGTGCTGCTGCTGCTGCTGCTGCTCTTGCTCATCTGTGTTCTTGGAAAAGAGCGGCATCTTGCCGTCTTCTATTTCTCTTACTACTTCTTCTTTCTGGTATGTTGCCTCGTAAGAGAAAGAGAAGAAAAAAAGATGAGCCCAGGCTCCGCGGATTGAATCGTATGCGCCTGTCGTACCCGTAGAATCCGAAGACTTGTTGTGTCGGTTGCTGTAGTAAATATTAGTAGGGCTAGCACGTGTAGCAGATTCAGTCTTGGAGCGTCTGAGGGGGGAGGGGAGGAGGGGATGAGCAATGCCTTTTAGTACTTCGTAACGGCAAGGTATGTAAGAACGATGACGACGTCACCCCATCGGATTCCCGTTGTGGATGACCCAAGCAATGGATATTTCTCTTCTTCTTTCTTTAAAGTTTCCCACTAATATCTCTCCGTACTCGTCCCATGATTGAAAACTCGCCTGAGAGTAGCAGAGACCTGCGTAGACGTCATCCATAGGTGCATCCACCCAATAACATGCTGTTGGTGGGTGACGTATTTCCCCACTTGTCTACCGGACCGTGTCTTTCACAGCTACTTGCCAGAAGCAGGAGGTTATGTTTCTTATGCTATGTTTCTTATGTTATTTCTTCTTTTTCTTTTTCTTCTTCTTCTTCTTCTCCGTCGGTGCTCAACGTCTGCATTCTGCATTCTGCTGAACTGTCTCGGTTTCCAGAGTAGAGCGTAAGAATGATATCTTGTTAACGACTGACCGCCTTGGTCTTGAGGGGGGCGATTCTCGGTTTTCTTCTTCTCTCTCTCCCTTCTTTGCTGGGTATATAGAATGCTCCGATAGCACTTGGCATGGCAATGACGGTGTTGGGTGGTGAGACATGCGGATTGGGTAGATTCCGTAGAATCCGCAATTGATTCAGGCTTTTCACTTCGCACGCTTCGAGACTAGTAGAATGTCTTCCATGTTCCTTTTAATTGTATCATCATTAGCTTACTGTACGAACACTGATGTGCGTGTTCTGATCAGGCCCCTCCCTCCAGCTTACATACGCAATTGGCATTCATCATCGCCCATTCAACGACCAATGAGATAACATTTTCCCGAATAGGCAAGCAATTCCTCATTAGTCAAATCGCCCCAACATCCAAGGCACGAACATCAAACACATTCAATCAGAGCATCGGATAATTTGAATGTGATGCCGGCGTTAAAACAGCATCATATATCCGTAAACTCCCCTACAAGATCTGCCATGAATAGGGGGGGGGCTCACGGAAGTCTAGCAAAGCACGAGAAGGAGGGGAGAGAAACATGACATAAAAAGGCATACGCAGTCCCCCCATCTCTCTTTCTCACCCCACGTACCGAGTGTTGAGAGAGCATATCGCCCTGCCCCCCTTTCAAGCCATACCACCATGTCTTCCAGAGAAGCTGTCAGTGGCAGGATGTCCTTGGCGGCCATCGTCTACCACCAGTACAGCACCCTCCCCCTCGCCGTCAGCCGGTCTACCTGCGCAGGGAAGACGTATATCGTGACGGGCGCCAACATCGGCCTCGGGTACGAGTGCGCCAAGCACCTCATCACCTTCCGATCCGAGCGAGTCATCCTGGCCGTCCGGTCCAAGGAGAGGGGCGACGAGGCCCTCGCGTCCATCGAGGAGGCCACGGGCGTCCGCGGCATAGGGCAGGTGTGGATCGTGGACCTGTTGTCGTACGCGTCCGTCGTGGACTTTTGCGCCCGCGTCGAGAGGGAGCTTCCCCGCGTCGACGGGCTGATAGAGAACGCCGCCACCGCCTTGGCAGACTGGAGGCTGTTTGAAGGCATGGAGAGCACCCTGACGACCAATGTTGTGTCGACTTTCCTGATGGCCGTCCTGCTGCTGCCGCATCTCAAGGCTTGCGCCGCTAGGTACGGTACCAAGCCCGTCATTGGCATCGTCAGCAGCGGCCTGGCTTTTACTCGGGAGGCCGACGTCGTCAAGGTCGACAGGAGCCGCATCTTTGATGATCTCAACGACCCCAAGCGGTGGTCTATGAACGGGACAGAAAGGTAGGACAGTCATTTCCCTCTCAGCCCTCATTTCTATACTGCATGTACTCCCCGCCCCGCCCACTTGCCATGAAGCATAACTAACCCCCCCAAAAAAAGATACTCCCTATCCAAACTTCTCGAAGTTGTGGTCGTCCGCGAACTGGCATCTCTTCTCCCCGTTGATGAGAACGGTGTCATCATCAATCTGATCAACCCAGGCCTCTGCTCGACGGGACTTTTGCGTCACACCGACGCCAAGAACAAGATCATGGTTGGGCTCTTGAGGATCATTATAGGACGGAGTGCCGAATGGGGTAGCCGGAACCTGCTGCACAGTCTGGAGGCCGGTGAGGTGTCGCACGGCAAGTACCTGTCCTACTGCGAGATTCGAGAGTAAGTTGACGAGAGACACACCCTACCCCTTTACCGGCACGGCGCTCAGCATGTGGGCTGACATTGTGTCTACTCAGGGATCATGTCCCTGAGTGGGTATCCAACGACGACGGCCGGAAGTTTGGTCGAAAGCTTTGGGCTGAGCTGTCGGCCATATTGGATCGGGCTAAGCCTGGTTGTGTTGATCGGGCGCTGACTTGAGAGTGGGAACATGGGACTGTCATCTGGTACCAAGTTGAGGGTGAGGAGGAAAACTAACGGGCGTGGGAGGACGAAAGAAGAAGATGAGACTCCAGGGTCGTTTGTGAGGATATGGAGATGTATGAGATAGAACTTTTGCTGGTGTTTTGTCTACCAAAGTGTCCAAAGTGTCGTGTGTATTTCATCATCATGATATTACATGTTCTGTCAAGTATGTACATGCCTGCGTGCGTGAACATGTCCGTTCCATGTTCCTCTGCTGGACCGACCAGAGCTATACAGTGTCATCCCTCAGGGGTTGCGAGAAGCAGTTTGTCCAGAAAGTCGACGCCGACTGGTCGTGAAAGCCGATGACCCAGGGATACTTTGCGAGGAGCCTCCGCGCAAACTTCCAGTCGGTCATGCCAAAGCAGGCCACCGTGTTGGCGACGCGGGGACGAAGCCAGTCCTGGTCGTCGTGAAGGGCCGAGATGCCGGCGACGACGAGGATCCAGAGATGAGTGGCGGGGTCGATGGAGGCCCTGAAGACCGAGTCACTGAGGGCGGTCTTGAGCTGACGGGTCAGGAGATGGTATCGCACGACGGACTGGTGGCCGAGGGTGACGAGGAAGGTAGTCATGTAGGAGAGGAGGGCGAGGTGAATGGCGTTGGCGACCGGGTGCACGTGCGCGGGCGGCGAGGCGAGGGGCCGGACGGCGACCAGGCGGTAGAATACTGTCGTGATCAGCGTCTGGAACTGGGACGGGCGGAGCATCGTCGAGGCGATCCCCGAGCTGAGGAGGCGCGACACCTTGAGGATGTCGTGGATGATGTCGAACACGTCCTGGTCGCCGGTGTTGCGGATGGCATTGAGGAGGGGTGACGGGACCGCCAGGGCCGGGTGCCGAAGGATGGGGACAATCTCTTCCATCGACTGGGCCGGGTGTAGACGGGTGGCGCAGCCCAGCTGCAGGCACAAGTCTACGTCGATCCTGGACATTGGTCAGTATACGCGCATGTGACCAGGTACGGTGGGAGGTCGAAGAAGACAGCAGTAGGCATGTACTCACCGGAGAGCCTTCTCGACGAGAGCTTCGTTGGTGTGTCGGAGGACGTCTATACCCCCACGAAGCTCAATCATGCGGCAGAGCCCGTCAAAGTGGATGCCGGCGGTGGTGGGCTGCCCGCAGGCCGATGAGAGGAGGCACATCATGATGACACCGCCCAAGCTCGAGTCCACCAAGGCGTTGGCGCCAGACAGCTGCTGGTTGATGCGACGCAGGGCCGAAGCCACGTGGTAGCGGAACTCTGCTGAGCGGGCCTGACGAGGCCTCCCGACATACAGATCTACGCACACCTCAGATAGGGCAACAAAAGCGTGGAAATCTTTTATTTTGAAAAAAAAGATGAAGAAAAAAGAGAGGCGATGTCCGTGTCAGCACTCCTGTCTAGGGATTGTGATTGTATGCGAGAGAGTAGGGTTGACTTACAAGCCTCGTCAAAGAGCATGTACTGGAACCAGACCAGCAGCTCGGGATCGGGGCTGGATGCACAGAAGAATATCGGGTACAGAGAGTTGCCGACAAGGCGGAGGACTGCGAAGGAGGTTAGAAGACTCTAGTCAGCGGGACCGACGATTCACTCTGAGAGGCAGAGAGAGCTGAAGTTGGCCATACAGTAAATCGCGGAACCGCGGGCGCGAGGCGTCATGTCACCAGACGATGCCAGACCGGAGAGTTCGTTGGCGACCTGGGCAGGCGACCTTGGATCCAACGTGGAGTTGGCCCTCGTCATCCACATATCCAGTTTCTGGGTTGGAGTCTGCATCTGCATCTGCATCTGCATCTGCAATGTCGGCTGCTGATTCTTGGTCTCGACGACAGCCACAGCTGTCGTCTCCGGGTGAGTGCCGAGGACGTCATCGCGACGGGTCTTGTCACCGCCCGATTTTGAATTTCGGGACTTTTCAACCTTGCGCGAGACTGGAGGGGGCACATTGTGGTATGGTCTGACGATGACCCTGGATGGCTGGACAGGTCGCTTCGGGATGCGCACTCTGCCGGTATTCTTGCCCTTCATGACATGACTGCGGATGGTGCGTCTTGAGTCGCGACCGACGGTGGACTGGTCAATAAACTGAAACGTTGTCGTCACCATTTCGTACGATTAAGAAGTACTTAAAATAGGACAAGAACGGAGACTTCTAGAACGAGATCCTCATAGAGAGCAAAATGCCCTTCTTGAATAGGGAGATTTTAAACTATGATGNGTACTTAAAATAGGACAAGAACGGAGACTTCTAGAACGAGATCCTCATAGAGAGCAAAATGCCCTTCTTGAATAGGGAGATTTTAAACTATGATGGCGATGACGGCGAGCGTTGGCGAGGGAAAATAATAATATTGGCAGGGGCTCAGACACGACAGTCACTTTTCTTCTTCTTTTTTTTTTTTTTTTTTCCTGAGGACCTCGGATGGCTGACGTGAGTCAAGTCCTCGTAGAGTACAGATTACATACATGTATTATTACTCGTACTTTGTAGAGAGGCATTGCTACTAATGCCGTACGCTGGATTAGAATATAAGTCACTGCTCCCACTCACTATTGAAGTAATGGCAGTAGTAGGAGTAATAAGACCAGGGCATGCTCATCTGCCAAATGCAGCACGTGCAGAATGCATGGGCGGGCGGCCTCTTTTGCTTTTTCTCTCTCCCTCTTCCTCTCCCCCCCCCCCCTTCTTCTCTTATCCCTCGCATAAACCATCTGCGGGCGCCAAAGGAGGGAAAAACGGTCATGGGATTGGTGGTCCTTGACCTTGACGGTTACAGCCCTTACGTATTATTACGACTCCGTAGTATCTGCGCTGTTTTACTAGCAACAATAGAATACTACAGCAGTGAATTCCTACGAGCTCATGTCCTATTACAAGCTATTACGAGCTGAATACCCTCAAGTCCATCGCACCTGCCCTCCCAGCCATTGTTATGTAGTATTGCCCAAACTGGTTCCTGCCAGACTAATAATCTTCCACTTTAGCCTGGGGGCAAACCCCGTTATAGGGCTAATCAGGCACAGTATTACGAGATAAAAAGTAAGAGCAAGATCGGAATTGGACATGGTATAGACTTTAGTACAGCTCTAAGCTGGCCATTTTATTAATATCGATCCACCTTGCTACCTTCTCTATACCGATTCGATTGCCTGCCATCTTGTAGAGTAGCTCATCACGGTGACTGATAAAGATTCTCAAAAGGTAAAACAGTCCGAAATGGAGGCAGGAGAAGGGGAGGCGACATGTAGAGCTTTCTACGGGAAAGAATAGAGGCCTTCCCGTCATCATCATCATCATGAGCAGCTGTACATCACATATAGTCTTTTTTTCTTTCTTATTTTTTGGGGGGGGGGGGGGGGGGGGGGGGGATGTTCCCGTGATGTTTGTACCCGTGATGTTTTGACAAGCTTCCAAGTAACGGCAAGGCAAGGGTCCAGTCTTTTTCTCTGTCTGACCCCAGTCCCAGAATACCTACGTGCTAGATACTAGGTAGTCTTCGCTCAGTAGGCAATACAATATAACATCCCTTCCTTATTTCGCTCGCTCAGGAATACCGACGGTGTTGTGAGGGCCTCTGTCCTCACGCTGGGAAGGTCCGCTGGGAAGGTCCCCTGGTCAGGGAAGGAAGGAGGCTGTGAGGATGAGGTCACACATCCTGCAGAAATCATCACTCGTGGAGAGGCGGTTAGCTTTACTCCCTCATCCGGGGTTTCGCCTCATTCCATACCCCATCAACTATGCATGGTTGCGAGGCCGTACCATCCCCTTTCTCTCCTTCTTCATCATGATGATCGCTGCGCGTTATAGTAGCAATATCCCACGTACGCTCCACAACCAAGCCGACCTGTACGTAACTCGTAAAGCTTTGACGTGCGTGGTCCGTGGGACGAACATGGACAAGTCTCCCGTGTCGTAGTCGTGGCGACGTTTCTTCAGTCGGCCTGATCGCCTCTCTGCCATGAGGATCGCTGTGGATGAGTTCACGTATCATCAGGGTGTGGATCGCCACCGTTGCATCGCTGTTGTAGCAGTAGAACGGCGTTCAGTCGGCAAGGTAACGAGGTTTGAATATATTAACGATGCACATGTAAGAAGTGGCCAAGATGAATTGAACACCAGCAAGTTTCAACCACCATTGGTCATCACATGCCAACCCGGGCCGTCAAACTGTCTCGACTGGAACCTTTTATCGGCTTCTCCGCATCACATGTATGCAGCCAGCCCGTATGTTCGGTCCTGGATGCATGTGGAAGACGCTCGATGGCTCGGTCCCGGGGCTCCCCTTAGGCGTACGACTTAGCAGACTCGATGAGCTGGATGGCCAGGGCCTCGGGCTGGCTGACGAAGGGCATGTGCGACGTGTTGAAGCCGACAACGTCCCAGGTGACGCCGGTCGACGAGAGCCAAAGGTCCTGGAGAGCGGGAGGGTTGCATCGGTCGCGCAGGGTGCGGATATAGGTACGCCTCCCGCCGTACTCGGCTTCGGCCCAGGCGGGGGCGGACGGGGGCGTCTGGAAGGCGAAGTAGGCGTGGGGGGTCATGTACCCGGCCAGCTCGGGCTCGTCCGAGGCCGGGAGATCGTTATACAGGACGTCCATGGCGGGAGAGATTATGGCGAGATCCTCCGAGGGCTGATTTTTTTTCGTTTGTCGTTGACAGGCACACGCAATCAAGTTAGCTAGCATATAGTACCGCGGAATCTCCTCATCCCTGCCTGCCCCCCCCTGGTCTCTCTAGAAGAATAATGGGCACGTACGCTGTCCAGCTTGATAAAGTCGGGGTAAGCACCGCCGACGGCCTCGAGTAGGGTCTGGTTCTCAAAGGCAATGTTCCCAGCAATGTAGAACAGACCTACGACACCTCCGGCCAGACCATGCGCCCGACGGGTCGTCTTGCTCAGGTTCTTGGCAGCCCCGCCAGCCACGATACCGCCGTACGAGTGGGCGACGACGACGAGCTCGCGACCCTCGTCGAGGAGCGGCTGGAGGATCTCGTCACGGAGGTGGGCAATGTCCTTGAGGGACGTGGCGTCGGCAGGGTCAGGCGGGTCGGAGCTGGGGTAGGCGCCGTCGACGGTCTCGAAGCCGGCATCCTCGAGGTAAGGAACGATCCTGTCGTAGCCGGCTGGCGTGCCGAAGGCTCCTGGCACGAGGACAATGGCAGGGTAGCCAATCGAGATGTCGGTGGAGACGTCGACGCCAACGCTGGCGCTGACCTCCGGAGGGTGGGCAGCGGCAGCACCGGCCCAGATGACCCAGAGGGAAACGTAGGAGGAAAACATGTTTATATATATATATAGAGGGAGAGAGAGAGGGAGGGAGGGAGAGAGGGAGAGAGAGAGAGACAAAGGAAGAAGAACAGGCAGTCAGATATATCTGCGGCTTGGATAACGTTTAGTCGTAGTGGAACGTCGTAGTGCGTCTCGTCGTCGTTTCCTCGGGGCACGGTTGCACGGTTGCACGGTTGCTTGATCAAGACTGTCACCTCATACGTGAGGGGGGAGGATCCAAGACGGAACCGGCCAGGCAGACACATATACTCTTGTGCATGTGGTGGGAGCTGACTGTCATGGTCCGAGGAATAGTTTACTATAGTAAGAGCTATCAATATTACTGTAAGTGACGGGAGAAGTGCCGAGTGGACTCATCTCTAGCTAGGGTTGTCTGCCGACTGGTCACAAATAGAAAAAGACCAATAGTTCTCCCAATGCTGCTCGTTGTAAGTTGGCCATTCCGCATTACGCGCACACAGTCGCGCACGGTCACGGAAATCAGGAATACGACCGGAGTCCTTGCAGTCTGTCGGTGGGTGGGTGTAATATTTCAACGTTGCCTCCTCTTCTTGATCGTATCTACCCCAAACTCCCGCTTACGAGCGTGGCATGAACCGTAACCGTAATCGTACTTTGGAGACAGCCACTTGGCAGGAAAGACGATAGAATGACTCAGATGATACTAAGGACTTACAAGTTACCAGTACAAGCATTACCGTGGAAGTATACGGGGATGACCCCTTCGTCCCCCCCCCCCCCCGCAAGAACGGCAGCTAATCTCTGGCCAAGCTCCAAGCTTTCTAGGTGCCGTATATTAATGCCACATGTTACTAAGTTCTTAACTGTCATGGCACTACGAGTAGTAGTATGATGCTTGTATATGCTAGACCTGTACACGTATCCCTTCGATGAGAGAGTATTGTATGTAGAGAAGTGCATCGAAACGTAGGCCGGTACGTGTCCCGAATATACATATTTTGATGCACGCATATATACTCATTCTCCCTTGAACGTGCACAATCGTAGTGGCCGAGCTCGGGATGCCGGCCGAGGATACACTGATGCGACTAAGACATGGTATTATATACTATACTACGTACTCGTATTGCTACCCAGAACGCGTGGTGTTGAGCGATAGCCGTGTGGGTGGTTGCCTCTTACGTTCTAGGACCCAGTATCGATTCCATCAATCATCACGAGTACATATACATACGTAACCCCCCGCCAATCCATTAATATAGTTGACTTGGCCGTACACCGTAATAAGCTCGATGCCATTGTAACGGTTAGCCGACCGATCAGCTTTATGGGCCGACCCTTCAAGTTGATATTATCCATGTTTTGCCAAGTGCCGAAACCCCCCTCCCCCCCACCCCACCCTGGTACCATAGAATGGGAATAGGAACATGTCCCTGGTCATTGTTCAATCCCCGTGGGTATAGTACTATCCCACTCGTATGTAGTGACTGACAGTAACAGGAGAGCACGACATACAGCATTCCTTTCCTGTCCTTATACGGACTAGTACTTGCTAGCCTGTATGCACTATGCTTCGTCGATATTCATTCTGAGATATCGAGGTCAGTGCACCACCAGACAACCCCGAAGGTGCGTTGCGCAGCGAGGCCACGGCGGATGAGGGAGGGAGGTGGGTCCAGGAACTAGATTGCTACGTGTATGTGATATACGACCGCACGATGGGAGGACGGAAGTCCTTCAACATTCTATAGATTCTCATCGCAGATTCTCGAAGATAGCATGGTGATGCTGTCACCCCTTTGCATACATACCTCGTCCACAGACATGACCTTTTCCCTCCAAACATCGACGGAAAACCTGTCCTAGGACTGTGCTAGGACCCGATGAGATATATGCCTTACTAATCTCATACTAGGACAGCTCGGACGACGCAGTGTAGTCATCTTTGGTTATTATCTCCCAGAGTAGTAGACTGTCCACGGTCTTCGGTGATGTTGTTGAGAATATCTCCTCACTGGCGTCGACCAGCTCCACCAACGTGATGCTTAGTAGATCACTCAGCGGACCCGACAAAGACATAGACAGTTGCTCCGCAGTGATTATTTGGTGTATAGAGTGATCTGCTTATGCAAGTGACCGAATGCCACCAGGATAAGGGTTGATCTAGCGCCGGCTGCTATGTAATAATCATCATAGCCTCACCTTCACTACTGGCATCACGAAGCAGATAGAAGTAATATAAGAACGATCATCATGATCGTAGTAGCCCTTCGTCGAAGGGGACTAATGCACCTATATATTCACGTTGTTTCTATGCATATTCGAACGCGACTAACATAATAATCAGATGTGGTAAAAAAAAATAGTGTGTTTTCGTGACTTCTACTGTTCATTGTTTTATGAGGGAAATAACGGCTAAGGAGGTGTTTGTCATAGTGGCTGATTCCGGAATAAGGTTTTCCCGCGGTCCGTCACCCTGGGAGTTCAGATGAGAGGAGGGGTCGGGTTATGTCAGGGATGGGTGGTCTGTCTGTTTGTACACTTCACTTGCTTTGATCATCTATCAATACCTACACACATACACACAACGCTCTGAACGTTACGACCCCGATGATGGAAGGAACTACCGAACTTGAGCGATGCTTGTGAGAGGCGGAGCGAGAGAGAGGTACAGAACGCGACCGAGCCGAGAAGGCAGAGTGGGAGAGGGAGGTCGAAGCGGCAATGAACGCGAAAAACTTGACACTTGACGAGCACAATACTGCTTGACACGTAATCAGCATCCTCCCGCCTTGCAGTCGAAACGGATCCAGAATCGACATGCAAGGAACCCATCGCGGAGCCTCGAAACAAAGTGGCGCCCTTCCAGGATCCAGCCATGGACCGATTTCCTCCGTAACCAGAGGACTGTCTTTGGTGCTGTGCTTTGAAAAGTAGTTCTCCTGTCGAGACATGAAGTGTTCGAGAATCGAACCCTTCTCGATAGGTTGGGCAAACCCGGATTTCGAGACGAAGGATTGCCGACGAGAAGACGCCGGAATGCTTCGCCCATATCAATGTGGAAGATCCGGTCCGAAATATCACAGAACAGCTGAAAACCGACCCGGAGACATCCAGCACCTTGAACATGGGCGATGGCATCATATCTGAGAATCATCCTCACGCTATCAGCGACACTGCCGAGGAGGTGGTAGACGGGGCGACGCCGTCGGCACCACCACGAACCCCCAATCAACGACACGACCCATGTCGGCTACGCGCTGATAAGATCGTCATCTACCGAACCGACGATACGCAATCGTCAAGGCGCACCGTGCTCTACATCTCCGAGTACAAACCGCCCCACAAATTGACGGCTCCTCAAGTTCGTCTCCGGTCTCCGTCGGATGGATATCTACAAGGAGATTGTCAATCGCAAGACAACGAACCGACCTCAGTTGACCCGGCCGCTCGATTTCGATATTTCGCCGAGAGGTTGACAGCATCTGCCACTACACAAACGTATCGCTATATGACTGAGGGCGGCCTCGAGTACAGTCTCCTGACTACGGGCGAGACGGTTGTCTTTCCGAGGATTGATCGGGATGACCCTGGTACGCTCTACCACCACCTGGCCGGACCTGGTCCCGAGGCAGCGGCCACAGTGGAGGCAAAGGACCGAGCGGTGCTGAAGCAGGGACTGAGGCAGAGACTTGCGCTGTCTCTCGGCGACACCGTCCCTACCGCACGCGGACATGTTCCGCTGGGCCTGGTTAGGGGATGAAAGCTGGACGCGGCATGTCCAGACGTGGGTCTCCGTCGAAGGGCTGGTACTCACCACCCGGTGGATCATACGCAACGGCTCAGTCTGCTCGATCAGCAACTTCAAAGGTCACTCGACGACGGCATCACACCGTCGGAGTACGGTGGTGCGCGTGGGGGGTCCTGTTCAGAGTGGCGTTGCTGGCATGCGGCTACACACCTCTGTCAGCAAGGACACGGCGAAAGCCTCCATGCCTGATCCTTGGCACGAAGCAGAGGTGTACAGACGCCTCCTCCCGATCCAAGGCAAGAACGTGCCAGTATTCCTCGGGACTGTCCATCTCCGCCAGATGCAGAAGACGACATACTACTATGGCCATCGGGTGTACGTGGTATTTTCGACGTTCCTATCATGGGGAGGATGTAGCATCTCGGAAGCCCAGGCGGCACAGTTTCCGAATGACAGATTGCATGGACTGGCTGCTCAGTCAAGTCCAAGAGTCCGTTCCCAGCTCCCAGCTCCCTGTTCTCCGAACTGAAAGCAGCAATTTTTTCCCAGCACCTCCAAGCGTCTCTCAGTAATAATGGCTTCTGCTTCCGTGCTGAAGCGTTCAGTGCCGGAAACAGGGCCCTGCCGGCGCTGAAGGGGTTCCTGTGTGGCTCGTGCCTAAAGATCGACCACCGGGATCTGGCGAGGTTAGGTGAGTACGAGTAAACTGAATATTTATTCATACGGAGTAATACTGGTGAGATTGATCTGTCCCTCTCTCATCGACCCACGCGGATACATGTACACACCACACATCCCTACGGAGGGAGGTATTGATACATAACGGCACGAGGTCGTCTTCCGCACATAATGACGTTCATCGTGGAGTAATCACATAGTCAGGCCATTGCGTCCAATCATCTCACTAAGACGGTTACGCACCGGGTGCACCCGCTCTAGGCATCTACTTTTTCGTAGCCCTTACCACCCCCCAGGGAGCCTCTGATTCCTTTCTGGTAAGCTGTATACACGAAAGGAGTCGAGGGAATCGAGGAAGGAACGTTTCTCATCCTTTATACATGATAGAATAATAACAACGCATCATCAGTTATTACCTGATTAACGCTCTTCTACATACTCTCCTTCCTTCTTGTGACGAATAGTCACTCGAGTCTTTCCCGGATAAATCCCCTGAATCAGACTACCCGAATAACCGAGGGTGTTCCACCGCCCAAAGCCAAAGGCGATGCGAGATCCCCGGATGGCTCTGAATCTGAAGACGGAGATCGAACCAGATCAGAATACTCCAACTTTGCTTCGATCCAAAAAAAATAAAAAATGTTCGGCTAATTCTCCTTCTTTACCATAGGCTGCAGATGACACTGTCGTCAAGTCTGGAAAGCGCATCGCCCACTGGAGAAGCAGAGGCGTCGAGGATCTCGTCGCTCAGGCCGGGCTCCCTGTCCCAGAGTTGCTTGCCCGACGTCTTCAGCACTCCCGACGGCCAACGGGGCAATGAGGATGGCACGTGTTGAGAGGGGGGAGCCTTGACAGTCCGTGGCCCAGTCTGTCCGCCGAACAGGGGAAGGATATCGCACAGCAGCTTAGCGTGATGCTCCCAAAGATGAAATCAGCAAAGCCTCCTACGCCACTCATCGGAGCCTGTGACGGCGTCGGGATTGGATGATATACGAGATTGCGCTTCACCTGCCACGCTACCACATGCCCCGACGAAACAGGCCTTCAACGAGTTTCTTCCATCCTCCCGCTACGGGCGTGTGCCCCAGTTTGTTCGTGAGGCCTTCTCACGGCGCCCAAGGACCAACCATGGAAAGTCCTCTGTCTCGAAATGATGGGGGGAGGCCGAGTGTTCCGGTGATAGAAGCGCGTGGCTGAGCAACCAAGAGGGGCGGTCATCAGGTCGAAGAAAAAGAAAGGTCTGCGGAACTCTTCATCTACCAGGTACTCCTCGATGCCTCACAGTCAGCCTTGGCTGCTTACAGGAAAGACTCTGATACATTGGATAGGTAAGCATCGACCTGCATCGTAAGCAGCCGCCCTCCACATCGCTTCTCGTCCGCAGATTCGAGGATGCTTGCGTCAACTCTTGTTTCACCTCCACGCGCCCATTTCCGTACTACGTTTGAAGATCTCTTTTTTTTTCTAGCGCCGGCGCCTGATGATCTCGGTTCCATTCGTACAACGGCCATGTCAACTTGTTCGTGTGATTCAACACCCAGCAGGCATAGCTTAGCATGAAAATGCTCCATCGCAGATTTTCAGGTGTTAAATGGTTGGTTGGGCGGGTCATAGAGCTTACAACACCAGACGTGGATGCAATGATGCTGCGTATAGTATTACTAGCAACACGCCATGCGCAATTATTACTGCACATGCATGCATTTACTCCGCATAGGGTTATCCCCCCCCCCCCCCCCCCCCCCCCCCCCCCCCCCCTCCTCGTCGACAAGGAAGGGCGGTAGCTTTTCCAGCAAGTTCCTCCTGGCACCGTGATGGGAAAAAGAAGACGGATGGGGAGAGTTGGTCATCTTTAGTACTTTTCCCATCCATCTACATGCATCTGCAAGCATCTACAAGCATCTACAAGCACTGCAATGGCTACCAGAGGCAACGCTAGCCACACAATGTCCATCAAACTAAGCAGGTCGCCTATCCCCTCGGGGGACAGCGAGAAGGAGATCGGTCGCGATCCGATACTATGCAGCATCTGCTGGAACCTGTATGCAGGCTCAATCAATACCGCTCCCTTTTCAACGTCACGAATGAGCCTCCGCGACGCAGTCGCCAATGCGGAACCAGGAAAACCCCTCGGGAAAGCGCCCGGTTGGGCCAGAGGCGATGCCCGTCTAGACTACGCCTCTTGGAAGTTTTCCGTGGCCCTCGCCAAGATGCCCGACTCGGCAGACTCAGGCTGCGACACATGTCGGCTCCTGTACGTGGCAATCCAGCGGCTGAGCGGCGGGTCTGTCGACTTCAGCGACCACCATCTGCGTCTGGAAGTGACCATGTGCAGAGGCAACGCCCTCCAGCTTGTCCTGTGGAAAGACGCGGCCGTCACAGACGAGTACGAAGAAGCGTTTGGCTTCGATGTCTTTGCCGATATGGAACCGGCAGAGGACGTAGGATCTACATTGGAAGCTACTTGGGAACTATACACGCTGCCGAGTACGTGCAATCTCGACTAATCAACCCAAATATTTACATGTATATGTATATGTATATGTACATGTATATGTATATCCCTGATGCTTTGGATAGATGTGCGATCTGAACGCTGACGCCCTGGTCTAGACGCCACCTGCCCATGGTCCTCGATTGGGAACCGTCTGAACAAGGAGGAGTATCACGACTCTGATAAGCGACTCATCCGGGGTGGTGCGAGGCAGGTTCCGTCCGACGCCCATTCAGACACCACATTCGACCGAATCAAGGCATGGATCAGTACATGTAAAAAGGAGCACTCCATCTGTGCCCAGGTGGATGCACTCTCAACAAGCCGTCTACCGAAGCGTGTCTTGCACCTTGGTGGGCCAGGATCCGGCTTTGACGATGATGATGTCGTGCATCTCGTAGAGCGAACCGATAAGCAGCATTGTGAAGACGAGCCTTACATAGCCCTGTCCCATTGCTGGGGCGAGACGCAGCATCTGACCTCGACGAGAGAGAGCTTGGACCAGAGGAAGAAGGGGATACCGATGTCGAGCATGTCACGGACCTTCCAGGACGCCGTCGTCATATCCAGGAAGCTCGGGATCCGTCATCTATGGATTGACTCCCTGTGCATCATCCAAGACGACTCGCACGACTGGGAAGTCGAGGCGGCCAATATGGCCTCCATATACAACGGCGCCTATCTCGTGGTGGCGGCCTCCGCCATGCCCGATGGATCTGGAGGATGCCTGTTTGACCGACCTCCGGAGACGATCATCGACGGCACGTCCGCTTCCGGCGAGGCCTTCCGGATATACGGGAGGCGCCCGATAGACCACGACGTCTTTGAGGGAGACACGGCCCACAACGACTATCGCCACCTGGCCCCCATAAACACCGACAGCCGTTTCCGGAAGGTGAAGCTGGACTTCCCGCTCATGACCCGCGCGTGGTGCTTGCAGGAGAGGATGCTGGCGACGCGCATACTGCACTACACCAAGGCCGAGGTCGTGTTCCAGTGCTCTCTGGCGTCCAACTGCGAGTGCGGCGCCTTGGAGGACTACGACAGAGACTCCCGTCTCAGCGCCCGACGTTCCCTCCTGAAGAGGCCGAATCGAGCGGCGGCAACGACGAGAGGGCTGACGGCTGCCACCGGAACCGGAGGCGGTGACGGACACGGAGTCGACGACTTCGACACGTGGCACGACATTGTCATGGACTTCTCGGAGAAGCAGATAACCAAGCGCACCGACTGCCTGCCTGCCATGGCAGGACTGGCGGTCAAGTGGCACGACCCCGCGTCCATGGGCCGCTACCTGGCCGGCATCTGGGAGAAGGACCTCCTGCGCTCGCTGATGTGGCGGGCGAACTCCGCCGATAGCGACGGGAAGGAGCTCCCCTACATCGGGCCGACCTGGAGCTGGCTCGGCGCGCAGCGGGCGGTGACGTGGGGGCCGAGGAGGAAGCGCGATCCCGAGTACTTCATCGAGATAGACCTGGGCCGGACTGCCTGCCACCCCCTCCACACCGTCAATCCTTACGGCCAGGTCAGGTCGGGGTATATATCCTTGACGGGGAGGATCATGCCCGTCGAGATGGCCAGGAACGAGGACGACGACGAAGTCAAGTTCTACGAGTCCTTGGGGGGCGTAGTGCTGCGCAAGCACGGCAACACCTCCTCCTGCCAGGCCCAGGTGACCGAGGCGGATAGCATGTTTCGCATCCGCCAGCACCAGAACAGCTCCGACTACTACTGCCTCCGCTTCTTCCACCAGAAGCCCATGGCTACCGACAAGGACGCAGCTCTGGTCCTGGCTCGGGCGACGCCGGACGATGCTGCGAGACAGCCCGAGCACGTCCGATCTTCCGGTCACGTATATGTGCGCCTGGGGATCACCAAGGGGTATCCGACTCATGAATGGAATCACGAGGCCGACTCGAAAGAGGTCCAGCTGTATCTGATATGAGTCTAGACATAGTCTCTCTCTCTCTCTCTCCCTCTCTCTCTCTCTCTCCCTCCCTCTCTCTCTCT